CAAGGTTTTAAAGTATCAGAATTGCAAAAAGTATCAAAAAGGCAATTTTAAGATATATAGAACCAGACTGATAGTTTAGATAAACTAGAGGGAATTCAAAAATTTATTGCAATCCTACAATCTAATTTAGGAATAAATCGTTCAGATCAACTATTAGAAACACCAAATTGGCTCTTTATGACCTAGTAGTTGAGATAGTCAGTCAGCATCCCTTCAAAACAGGAGGCACAAGATCAAGCTCGTAGAACGCAGGCTCTCCATGGTATGGCCAAAGGGCCTTACATGCACCCTGCTCTGTCCCACCCCTAATACCCCTTTACTATGTATAATACCAAAAAAAAAGGCTCTTTATGATATTGATATTAAGTTTTAGTATAACAAATAAATTCGAGTTCTGAATTTGTTCTATTCTCTGAAGCAAATAATAACCATTAAAAATGACCCAGAAGACCAATATATCAAGATTCCTAACTCTAACAGACAAGTAGTAATGTGGCTGCTTGGGAAGAATGAAACAAACGCATTTTGAGTAACAAAGCAAGATCCACAAAAGACCTAATTTCTCATATTTTTCACATCTGCAATCTGTGGGAGCTGAATTCAGAGATGTACAAAGGAATCACTCTAAACATGCTTCAGTAGAATGCGATGGAACTATTGTTCTCTTCACCTAGATCTTAGATCTTTAAGAGTTACAAGCCTCCACCAGTCAAGAGAAGAAGAGTTGACTCTATACTTTGATGGAAATGCACTTGGAAACCTGGGATTAGCTAGAATTGGTGGTGTGTTTAAGAGGAGGGATGGTAGTCCTTTGTGGTTTTTTGGTGGGCCAATTGGGTCTGTAGACTCTACAACGGCTAAAATTTTAGTTGTGATAAATGGCCTCCATATCACAAGAAGTCTAGGCTTGACCAGCCTAGTAGTCAAAGGTGGTTCTAGCAACATGATAAAATGGCTTGGGGAGAAGGAAGGTGGGCCTTGGAGATTAGCTCACTAGTCACTACTTGGACGAGGCTAGAGATTTGTTGTATTCCTTGAATGTAAAACTAACCTTGATTCACAGGGTTTTAAACACTATAGCAGATAGTTTTGCCAATTCTGGAGCACACTAACACAAGGCAAGCTTATATAGTGATAGACTTATGCCTTTGTAACCTGTGTGTGGCTAGCCTTCTTTGTACATAATCTCATGTACTCTCCTTTATCTTTTTAATATAATGCTACTCTTTTTCTCAAAAAAAAGACAAGTAGAAGAAAGAGATACAAAACTAGACTGAGAGAGAGAGAGTACCAGAGAGGAAAATAAAAGCAGAAGATAGAGGAGTTGAAAGGTTAAGTACCCCATGTAGTTGCAAATCCCATAGCCTGGAGCAAGCTTCCTTGCCAAAAGAAAAACCTATCCAGTGGTTGCGAATCCAACAGAAACATCACCATTTTGAATTTAGCATAAGAGATGAGCAAGTTCATCCCTCATGGGGTTCCATCCTTCTTTAGCCGGATTGTCAGTGGCAATCAACCATGTCCACCAAGTACCAATGAGCTCCACATGTTATTACTGAAGGAAAGACCAATGGATTCAAGATCAACTTGATTAAGACAAGGAGATCTTCAAACGATTGTTTATAAAAGATATTGATGGATTCAAGAAAATCTTATCAATGAGAGAGATATATCTGATGAAAGAAATCGAAGGAGCTATTCATGCAGATGACATCCTTTCCTTGATTGAAATCTTAAACTCCTAAATTGAAATATTTTAGCATAAACCCAATAATGTTGTGTTTGTGGATCAAATTTGGAATATCATCCAATTTGATCCAATAATGTAATGGATTCTTGCTTTGATTGAATTACTAAAACCATCAAATCATAATAAAGGAAGATTTGATCAGCATAGGAATTGCTCCAGGTGGGTCATAGCCAAATTAGTATCAATCAGCCTCCATTAGGCAACAGATCATGGCCATAAAGTTTCTTGGTTCATGCTCTCCCAGATTATGGATCTTTTCCTAAATTGCATTAGCTTCTGCTGTCCAAAACTTGAAGAAATCAATCATAAGAATTGGTTTTTGGTCACAACCATCATCCTAAGTACATATTAGGTCTCAAATAACCATTGCACCCATGCACCCTAGGCATAAAGTGTTTCTCATTTGAGATGCACTTCCTCTATGTGTGGTGTATCAAATGCTCAAACCAATAGGTCCAATACCATGCCTACACTTCATTTCTCATACCCATGTAACATGGTCCTTCTGGATAGTAGGTCAAGGTGCATCCATATATAAACAAAACCAAAAAGCACTCACTGGACCATCAATGATGGAACCATTTGATCTAGTTTATTCCTGGCATATTTTTTAATCAATAAATATGTATTTTATTAAAATTCAGATTGTAAGTAGTTTATACAACTTGGTGATGGGATTGTTGATCCCCTTTAATCTTTCTATTCTATCCCTCATTACAGTGTAGCCCAAAATAATTATTGTCTCAATGCCCCATGTTTTGCTAATCCATCAGCTAGACCATTTGCACTTCTTTGGACCCATTTAAATTCAGCCTCAACCTCCTTTGCAATCTTCTCCACTTCCCTAATCACATGTTTAAACATCCATAGGGTATGGTTATTGTTTGCTGCCCATGAAAATGCTACTTTTGAGCCCCCTTCGACTTCAACATATTTGCATCCTAGTTGTTTGGCTAGATTTAACCCTTGTAGTAATGCCAATAGTTTAGAAGCCAGTGTGCAATTGGAACTAATTTAGACGTAAGGTATTTGAAAGAATGGAGTAAAGTATAAATTTCATGGTTGTTTTTGTTGTGCAGCAGAAGATTGACCATCCAGCATTCTTGTTGTGGATCTCCAAAACAGCACTTGAGGGAAATGAATCACATTGAGCCAATATAGGCAACCCCAGGGCATTGCCGAAGGAGAAATTGGCCTATAGTGGAACATTTTGCATGTGAGTAACTGCACCAAAGACACACTGTAGGTTTCTCTAGAGCACACAATGGGGGTGTTTAGCTGGGCAAAGATGAACTGTTGTTTGATTTATTTATGTATGTTTTTTTTTGGAAGATGAACTGTTGTTTGTTTGCTTTGATGGTTTTCGGAAGATTACTTTGTTGAACGAAGGATTATTGAGGGTTTTTTTTTACCTCTTTGCTTTGCTTATCCAGTCATGTCCTCGCTTGCACAAGTTTTTTTTTTTTTTTTTCAGTAGCACTGTCATTGGTGTTCTCTGTTTGGAGGCTTAAAATGGTGATGGCTTGAGGATGTAGTGAGGCTATCTACCACTACTAGAATGACTGATTTCCGATGTGAGACTGGTAGGCCTTCAATGAAGTCCATCGAGATGCTGGACCTAGAATGATTCGGCCCTGGTACCATGTCAGCCTACCTCTGTACTCCATTTTAGACCCCCCATGGTTTTCTGACTGCAGATCCTGTATAATTTCTTGCATCCTTGGGTCTTGGGCTACTTCTAATTTCAGTTCTTCTATCCAATTAGAGGGCCCATAATTCTGCTTCTTCACGCCTAGATAGAGCATCACCCACCAAATTCTCTTTTCCCCTCCGATGTTTAATTTCAAAATCATACCCCATTAATTTACTAATCAACCTCTGCTGAAATGGAATGTGCAATTGATGTTGAAGAAGGAACCCCAAACTTTTGTGGAAGGTTTGAATTAAAAAGTGACTGCCCAACAAATATGTTCTCCATTTTTGGACTGCCATCACTACTGCCAGTAATGAAATATTATCCATCATTTGATTTAAAAATACTTATGAAACCTTTTTTACTACAGGGAAACAAAGTAGTTACAGAAGATTGAAGTGGTCAATAACGGTCAAGATTTCCTACAATTTTGACTTATATTTCTTTTTTCTATACCTTGGTTAATACATCTATATTTAAACGGGAATTTCCTCTATTGGCAGAACTGTGGTGGTCTTTGCTTTAATTATTTATTCTCTTAATTTGTTAGAAGTAAATGGCATGACTCCATCAAGGAAGGATGCAAAACCAAGCAGCTGGAGAGGTTATAAGATTTGGCATTTTCTTTCCTTATTTTTTATCAGAAAATATCGTATGAGTCGACTGAATAATGGATCCCCAGCCACAAATCTTGCATCCCTTTGTTCAACAAATGCTGACCAATAACCATCCAACCCACATTATATAAGACATGTTGACCAATCACAGATCAGCTCCTTCTTAGTCAGAGCTAGAGTAAGTTGAAGATAGATAAATAGAGAGAGAGAGAGATAGAAAGATAGATAAATAGAGAGAGAGAGAGATCCAAAGGTTAATTATCTGACATATCTGGTACCTCAGTTCTCTCAACTGGTTTCATGTCTAATACATGCAAACCACCCATTCAATTTTAAGCAGTTTTTGCCTTTTTGGATTGGCCAAAATGATTCAGCTCCCATAGTACTTATCCAAAAAAAAACCAAGGCTCTATAGCATTCCGTTGTTGAACTTTTCCACTATGAAATTGATCAGAGTTTTAAGTGCCAAATTTTAGTTCAATGAAAAGGTCTAAAAGGGGTTTCCTTTTACCACGTCGTGGGTGTCTGCGGGTGAGGCTGGTAAATTGAACATGATGAGGTGACCCTACATAAGCTGATAAAATTTCTAATAAAACAAACAAACAATACAAACTGAAACTAGAGTGTTTCTGAACTTCGACTTTTGACTATTCACCTGGACTGCCATCACTACTGCCAGTAATTCTTTTTCATAGGTGGAGAGATTCAGATTGCAACCCTTTAGTGCTTTGCTGAAGTAAGCAATAGACAGACAACACTGCCCCTACCCCTGTACCACAAGCGTCGGTTTCCACCTGAAGAGATTCAGATTGCAACCCTGTAGTGCTTTGCTGAAGTAAGCAATAGCCAGTGCTGTGTGATTACATCCTTTTACTTCCTATTTTACTTCTTACAAATAAAAAATAAAAAAAAAACAAGCTTAAGTTAATTTGAAGCAATAGAAAACCAGGATTGACACTCGGCCCATTTGCATGTACTTCTATACATTTACACCAAACAGAGCCTAATCAAATACTTCAACCCATTGTGCTTCCACCTTGCAAGGTGGGTAACCCCCACTATTATCAAAGAACTCATTACTGTCTCTGTTAGGATGTTGGGTGTGACTTCGACTAGAACATACATAACTTTCTGAAGTGGATGCAGAATCAACATTTGGATTCAGACCAGCCAACTGCAGAATGCTCTCGATCTCTTTCACCACTTCACTCATCATTGGGCGGTCAGATCCTAATTCTTCCACACACCTCAGAACGCTCTCGATCTCCCTTTATCTATTGCTCTCCCGCCAGTTATCAGCTCTAACATTAGCACCCCAGAACTATATACAATTATACATCACTCTTTTCTGTCAACATCTGAGAGATATAATATTCGGGATCCATGTAACCCTGCATCAATACAAAACAAGGCATCTTTATTTAACATTTCGAGCAATACCAGAGATTGTTTGAGTAGATGCATAGTACTCACTTACCATTGACCCCTTGACTTGAGTGCTGACATGATCCTTTTCATTGTCAGCCATAAGCTTGGAGAGTCCAAAATCGGTTTCCACCTGAAAGTTTAAGGAACTCCAGTCGGCCAGGTCTGAGACAGATTTTAGTGCTTTCCTCTCTAGGAAGAAATGGAAAATTGCTACTTTGATAGGTGTCCTCTTGGAACCATATGCTTTTTTCATTTATTTTAAGTGGCTTTGATCTGTTATTACACCTCACTTTAAGGAGCTTCACCTCACTTTATTTTTTATTGCTTTGAGAATTTTATTTTGTGTGATAACTATATGCTTTGAGTTTGGGTTTTCTACTTCTGACATAGGTCATACCTTATCATTAATAGGGGGTTAGGAATGGCCACCGGAGATAATTTTGATAAAGCCACTTGGAAGGACCCAGCCTTGCAAAAACTATTGTTGGACTTATGCCTTGATGAGGTGTCCACCCATGGGAGACAAGGTGGATCACTAAAGAAAGAACCGTTGACACGGGTTCAGAAGAAGATAATGGAAAAGACCCAAAAGAATTTCTCACAAAAACAACTAAAGAATGGGTTTGATTACCTGAAGAGAAAATATCAACTATGGCTGACACTTATCAATAGGACTGGAAATGGGTATAATCCATCTACTGGTACAGTTGACTGGTCAAATGAGCAGTGGGAAGAATTCTTGAAGGTAAACTACACTAAAAATTTGTTGTTGGGAGGTAATGTATTTGTGTGTATGATCTAATAGGATGGCTTGTTTGTTTGTTTGATAACAGGCCAACCCAAATGTGAAAGTATTTAGGTATGCAGGACTGCAATTTGCCGACGAGTGCAAAGCGTTGTTCGATGGGGTCTATTCAACTGATGAAGTTGGCTGGACTCCGTTGGCAAATAGGACAAGACCAGTTGCCTCTACCAGTGTAGATGATGATACACAAGAGGGTGGACCTATTGACAATGCTAACACTCATACCACACCTCCCACAAGGCCCCAGACTAAAACACAACATACATTTGAAGAGTCTATAGGTCCAAGTGAAAGACCCTCCAAGAGGCAAAAGAAGTTCTCTGATGAGATTGATGCTAGGACAGTTTCTTGACATTAATAGGATGGCTTATTAAATTTTAATCATATTAATATTTTTTATTAGTGATTAATTATTTTTATTATTTTTTATTGTGTTATTTATAATTATTAATTATTTTAGTAATTATTAATTATTTTATTATTTTTATTCATGTTATTTCAGTTATTTAATTATTTATTAATTTTTATTGATTATTTTAATTTTTATTAAATTTTAATTTTTTTGTATAATTTCAATATTATTCTGAATCTGATAAGTTATTTTATATGAAATAGTGCTAATTGCATTCAAAATTACAAAATAGCCTATTCCAGGGGTAAAATAGTATAACAAAGCAATTTCAGATGTTTGCACAATTGATCCAACACAAACAGCATTATCTATTCAAATTCTCTAAAAAATAGAAAAGCATCTATGACTCTTTTCAGATTTCAGACACTTTTCATATCTGAATTTTCAGATTTATCAAACACCACCTAAAACTGGTTCTCCCTCTAGAAACCATTGCAATTTTATACTGTAAACAAGCCTCATACTTTACATTGTATCCTTCTAGAAACCATTTAAAATAGGTTCTTCCCAGAATTGATAAAATTGTGCATGTCTAAACCAATGAAGTATGGTCAATTAAGTATACAATGATCTCCTTTTCTGTTTCACTTTTTAACACAGATTATCGAAACCACAGTATCATTTATAAGCTGAGCTGGAGATGGAAGATACCAACTTAAAGTTACAAGGTAAAAAGCCTTTTAATATTTACCTATAATTGGGATCCCAATCACCAAGAGCAGGAAGTGACAAATTGTTTTCTGACTTGTCAAAAGCAGTTTCTTTGGCTGGTTGGAACGGCATATTAGAGCTTTGCAGAAGAGATCCTTGAACATTCTGAATGGTTGAGGAATTTCCTGAGTTGACTCCATTGCATCCCCTTTGTTGTCTCCAATTTGGTGGATTAAAACTTGACTGCACACTCTGAGGAAAATTACCATGTCCTCTAGAGTTCCAGTCAGTGTGACTGCAGCTAGCACCATCAGTGTGATACCCTTGAGAGTGTGGAGATGATGCACTCTCCTGAGACTGTGAACTTCCACGATATCCCCAACTTCTTCTTCTATTAAACCTTGACACTGCCATCATTTTGCTCAATGGTGAACCATGAAAACCACTGCTTCTCGCTGGAGAACTTGGACCATACTTTGGAGAACCAGCAGAAACCTGAATGTGGGAGCTTGGAGGAGTGAAGTGTGAAGGACTAGCACCTAGGGACATTGGCGCAAAATTTCTTGCAGATGAACTGACACCAAGACCATTCCCATGAGAGATTTGAGAAGTTCTTCGCCTAGTATCAGGATTAGCTCCAAGGATTGGGTCTCCACCTTGTGCACAGATGCTCATACCAGATGGACCAACAGGTGAATAATATGCATACATACTACAATTATCACCTTGTGCAATGATGCTCATACCAGATGGACCAACAGGTGAATAATATGCATACATACTACAATTATCACCATAGCTTCCATAGCTGCTTCCAACCCAACATTGTCATTATAGCTACCATGGCTTCCTAAGCTGCCATAACTACTGACATGAGAGTATGAGGTCACCTGAAAATGTTGGCTGCTCTGTAGATGACCTATGTTCGTACTTGTAACCTGTAAACCAAATCAATCTAAAATTATTGCACAAAAGGATAATATAATGATTAAATGCTACAGCTGAAACAAAGATAATATTGAAGACATGGGAAGGAAAATCCTGATATAAGAAAATGGCAACAGAAATTATTTTGAATACATGCTCAATCTCAAAGATAATATTGAAGACCACAGAGGAAAAGCAAATTCACCTGAGGGGAAAGACCAGCAGCAAACCAATGGCGACCACCTGGATGGTGGTCTACGTTAACATTCGGGGCAACAGACTGTGAAAAAGATAGTTAAGTAAGCAATCTGATGCTTGATTAACCAAAAAACGCAGTAAACCACATTTCAGACTCAGGAAAAAATAAAGTATTCTATGATGCATGATAAAACGAGTACCCCAAGTCAGGATTGGATAAAACAAACAACATATCATTTAACTCATTAGTTCACAGAGATGGTAGTGGGAGTAGCAAAGGGGAGCAGAAACAGGTGGTTCTCACAAGAGCTAAGACACATGCAACCTCTACATTTATTTTTTGGAAAAGGTAGAGGATAGAAATATATTAACAGAAAAAAGAAAAAATGAAAGTAATACACAACAGAGCTCAGCTCTCCCATAAAGATGAGAGCCTCTACATATTTAATTATTAGTACCTTTATTCAACCCTTGGATGGTCTTCTTTTGGATAGGTCAAGAAGAGACCACAGAGTTTGGACTGCTTTGTGCTTTTAGGGTTTTCTTGCGTGCATCTTTTTTCAGTGCTTTGTTGTCAATCTTGCTTTAAGTCATGGTTTCCCTGTTAAACTGTTTCGTGTGGCCCTATACCCTTCAAAATTAAGGCTTTCTGCTAGGAAGTGATTCTGGAAAAGATCATCACGTGGCAACTAGCAAAAGAAAGGACCAAACTAGTGAATCTCTCCTAATATGTGCTTTCTGTGTAGAGCACACTGGGAGACCCCTTCACACTTACTAATCTCCTCTCCTTTTGTCTCTGCTATTTGGGATATTTTTTCTTCTCTTTGTTTGCCTGTAGGTGGTTCCATGGAGATGTACAAGAGCAGCTATTTTGTGGACAACTTGGGAAGAAAGGAGCAAGAATATTTTTGAGGATAAAGAATTCTGTATGGAGTATGGAAGTCAAAAACGGACTGTTACAATAAGGGAGGCCCAATGGATAAGAACATAGTGATACTTCACTGATGTTTCATATGATGATATAGCAGGATGCAGGAACTAGCAGGTGGTAGATGGTTCATCCTCCGCAATAGATAGATAAAGGATTCCTTGGCAACCACCTGAGTCTCCTTGGATCAAGATGAATTCTGATGGTTGCATACTTGATAACCCTGGGAATTCAGGTATTGGGGATGTTTTCAGACAAGCAGATGGGTCTGTGATGGCTTTGTATTCGGGGTCAATTGGGTTTAGGGACTCAACAAGAGCAGAGCTGATGGCAATCTTACATGAGTTAAAATTGAGGAAAAGACTCCAAAACAAGAACATAATAGTAGAGGGAGATTCCAGTGGTGGACTGGATAAGAAATAATACACAAGGAACATTGACATACAGGTATATGTTGAGGGAAATAAGTAAGCCGGCAGCAGTAATGATGATTACATTTCAATGGGTGCCTAGAAGTGCAAACATCATGGCTGATGCTTTAGCTAAGCAAGGGGTTAGAAGATCTCAAATGTATTGGGAGGAGATTCCTAGGGAATCCATTGTATAATTTAATTTGGGTGTAGATTGTTACACAGGCTATACATCTTCTTTGTACCTATACATATTGTCCATGTTTTCAATAAACTTTTGATTCTTACCAACCAAAAGAAAAACATTACTAAGCATACAAACTATTAACATATCCAAAAACATCATATCTGATGTTTGTATTATTATAAAGACAAAATTTCAGGATATAAATTAAAATGGAAGAGATTCTAAAGAACTAAAAAAACTGAGCATGCTGCCAGTTCTGTAACCAAGTATATTTTGTTTGATTACTATTACCCCTAATTTAGAAATTGTTAATAGTAATAATGTTTGACATACATGGCATAGACAGCTTAGTCATCCTTATGTTGATATATTAGAGTTTTTGTTTCATTTTGGATGTTTGCATTCTCAAGTCACCTCATTTACTAGCATTAATAAATATTACATTTCATGCTGATTGAGCAAGTCACATTTTACCTTTTCGGTCATCTCCTGATCATGCTTCTATTTCCATTTAAATTTATAGAGAATATGCAATATGATGAAAGTGTTCTTTTTTTTTTTGGGTTTTTATTTCCTCTTTGTATTTGGGCGCCCAAGTAAGGGCAATCTTGCACTTTCAGCAAAACTATAAAGGCTTTGTCTCCAGTGTGAACAATAACCCAAGACACATCTTCATAACTCTCTTCTTCTTTCCTTCTTATTATGGCTTCATCTTAAACAACTTGGTATCAAATCACATCTGGATTCAGGGTAGGCTTTGCTGGTGTTTGTTACCCTAGAGGCAGCTTGCTAACATCAGCAGTCCATACAAGTGGTGGCAACCATCTTTCAAAACTGGTACGATTCAAATCGCCCTGAATTTAGGGATTTTTTATATAGGTTTCACCTCTATGTGAAACTTCTGTGGTTTGTTATGATTTTTCCAAAAGGAAATCCACAGAAAATTCAGATTTGCTTTTGAAGCTGTTTTAACACTTTTAATGGGGTGTTTCTCCTTCAAGCCAATTTTATTTGGCTTGTTTTATATTTCTAGGAAGACAAGAAGTGATCCCGTAATTTTCTGAACTCTAGAAATTTTTCAGGGTTTTTTTTTCTTTCAATATTTGTCGCCCAAACTATTCTTGGGGCTGTTTTTGCTTCTTAGTCATGTTGGCTCTTCCCTTGGCCTTATTGTGTGCCGATGGTGCATTAAAACTCTTTGTGACTCTTAAAATTATTCCCAATTGAGGAATGGAAGCTTATAAGGATATTCATTTGGTTCCCTAAGTGCTTCCAGGAAACGTGGATACCTCCAATGGCATGATAACCACGGGAAAGGAAATCAAGCCTAAATCAAAAGACCCAAAGTTTTCTAAATAGGAACAAGACAATCTGATGGTTATGCCGTGACTGGCTTGCTCCATGCAGCCACATATAGCCTGTAACTACATTTTTTTTATTGAAAACGGTAACTTCAATAATACAACTTAAAAATAACTTTCCAAAGTTAAGTACAGCTGTCAACCCCTAAACAGGTGTTGAACCTCAGTAATCGTTCATACAAAACTGCCCAGAACATTCTCTCCCTCACATCCGTATTAACCAGGAGATGAGTGTCTTAGTGGCACTCTGTGTCTTCGTCCGGAACCTTGAACAAGAGAATGAGTACTCTCTTTTCGGCCACCAAAGCCGTTAGTTTCTATTGGTTTCATGTCGTCGAGGACGAGATAGAACCCGAAGCTATCCTGTCTTTAGTAAAATTATTTATGAAATTATATAAAAGGGTAAAATAGGTATTTAAAAAAAATAACGTATCACTCAAACGTTTTTCGTGTGGTTAGTAACGGAAGGGAGATATGTGTTGAGTTTTTTAAAAATTCAGGGGAGACTATTGTTAAAATAAAACTTAAGTGGAGATTTTTATAATTGTCAGAAACCTCAAGGGAGGTTTTTGTATTTTACCCTTTGTTTTATTTTATACTTCACAAATTCACCATGAACCCGCAATCAGTACATTATGGCATTTCTAACGGTCACAAAGATGGCCCCACAAATCATATTCCATATGAGTGATATCTGGTGCATTTGTTAAGGTATACAAGAAACACAATTTGTATGCTTGCTTTCTTCTAGGGTTTCGAAATGGGCCAATTTGTTTGATTATCTATACACACGATGGATCAGATAACGGGACTCTTGCGTTTTGAAATGGGCCATTCGAAATACGCCTCAGCCTCGACATCCTCATACATGGGCCGTGGGCCACGGTGATCAAAGTATACAGTAGGTGACATCATCGTACAGGCTCACACAACATGTGCCGTCCATCAAATTCATATCCAGAATCAAAGGCGTCAAAAGGATTAAACCAATTCATCCACTTTGACACCTTAACGACGCCAATAGTTCCGGAACTTTCCTCCCCGTAGTTCCATACAAATTTCTAGTTTCTAGAAGTCTCTTATCTTCAATAAAACTTCCCCGTATATCCCTAGAGCTTCTAGGGTTTATCTTCTTCTCCTCTTCCTCTTTGCAGTGGAAAGATAAAAAATTTCAGTGGAAACAAATCTTCACGCTCATTTTTCACTCTTGTTTCAGGTTTGGTCTCTTCCCCTCCCCCCTTTTTTGTGTATCTCACCCTTGTTTATTCATCTGGATGTATTCTAAGGATTGTATGGAAATTCGGCGTTTGCTTTGATAAAATGCAGATATTACTTGTCTGAGATGATTTTTTTCTTATACGTTCGAGGTTATTTTCTTCCTTAGGAACTCATGGCGTCAATTCAGTTTACTGGTTCTTCTATTTCAACCCGTAGATTTCCTTCTTTTCAAGGACTTAGTCCATCCAGGACTAGTGGTGTTTCTTTAGTCGGGATTTCCAGTATTGGACTTAATCAGAGGTCCTTCCGGGGGCTCGTGGTAAGAGCTGCCACCGTCGTTGCGCCAAAGGTATTGTCTCTCTTCTTCAACCCCTCCCCGGACACCAATTTCCCCTCCATAAAGAATTACGAAACAATGTTGTGGTAACTATATTTGTTGCTTGGTTCTGTGGCATTAACAAGTTTGAAAAAAATGAAGCCTGTTATTTTTTCTTTTGCATATTAAATCTGTATTTTTACTTGCAATCAATAACTCAGCGTAGATTCAATTATGTTATCGATATGCACTGGTGAAGCAATTATTATTATATTTTTTGGTAAAGCAGCAATTATTATTTTGGTCTAGTGCAACCGTGAAGCAAATTTGTTTTAAGATTCTACTCTGGAAGTGTGGGAAGTAGATTAGTAATTTTATATCATAAGAGTGTAGATTGTTTTGTAAGAATGAATTTTCCTTTTTTTTGTGATGATGCATTTGGCTTTCAGTTTTGAACAACTTTAACTACTTCAATTGGTAAAGAATATAAATTGGAAGTGGATTGAAATGGTCTTGTTTATGGTGGGTTCCATTTTAACTAGTCATTGTTTCTACGGCCAGGCTATACAAGCAGAAGTATTGTACCAAGCTAGGATAGGAAGTTGGTATTGTTTCCGGATGTTGTATGTCCGTTTTGGTACTTTACATGTAGTGAAGCGTTCTTAATAGATTCATACAATTGGAAATAGAGATCCATTTAGAAACTGAATCTCTGTTCCAGCTTCTAAATGCTCTGCCTTTAGGTGTACAAGTGTTTTTTTCCTTTCTTCTTGGGTCTAATCCCCACTCACTTGTCCGCAACATATCAAAATGCATGGTATAGTGTTCTTTAAATGATGCTTATTGTTTGTGTATTCATACAGGGCAAGAGTATTCTTACTGTCAAATCGAAAAAGTTGGGTTAATATCAACTTTTACGGTGTGGCTGTTATGACCATCAGTCTTAATGGTTGATTTTTTTTTTATGCCTTGGCCTGTTCTGTCATCTGTGAGCAAATAGATTGTTATTGTTTCTTTTATGCATACAGAAAAGTGAAATAACTATATGATTTCCATTTGCGTCAACAAGGATGATTTGATTAACAATTTTACCCAAATGTGGTTTAAATTGTAGTCCTCCCCGTTTGTTATTTCTAAACCAATACGTTGTCATACGTGCATGGTTCTTTCTGTTTACTACCTCCATTTCTACAACGTCACCAATTAGCTTTTATAACTTTTCAGTACACTTCCATTAAACCCTTGGGCGATAGAGTGCTGGCGAAGATAAAAACTGCAGAGGAGAAGACTGTAGGTGGTATTCTTCTCCCTTCAACAGCCCAGACAAAACCACAAGGAGGTGAAGTAGTAGAAGTTGGGGAGGGCAGGACAATTGGGCTTAACAAAGTGGAAATTAGTGTCAAGGTGATTGGCCAGTTTCAATATACCATGTCATTTTCTCGGCTGTTGATTTAGTTCAACTGACGCTTTTTATACTGTGTTTTTCTAGACTGGTACTCAGATCGTGTACTCCAAGTATGCGGGGACAGAGCTTGAGTTCAATGGATCAAACCATCTTTTATTGAAGGAGGATGATATTGTAGGTATCCTCGAGTCTGATGACATCAAGGATCTCAAGCCTCTAAATGACCGGGTATTAATCAAGGTTTGTTCCCTCTTTACAACCACTTCCATCCATCATATGGTCAGGTTAAGTAATGAAAAAGCTTGAATGGCACCCGGTGAACAAAGAATAAGCCAGCATCAATATCATAGTGTATCTGTTGGCTTTACAACTGCAAGTGAATATTGTTCATTGTTCGTGTACTTTTCGTACCAGGTTGCTGAAGCCGAGGAAAAGACTGCCGGTGGCTTGCTGCTAACAGAGGCAGCCAAGGAGAAACCTTCCATTGGCACGGTGAGTGGGTTTTTCATAAAATCTTAAATAAATAATTTGATCACCCCTTATGTTAATGATATTAAGCATGTAGGTTGCTAGCGAAAATTTTCAAAGCTGCGAATGATATTTCTATCTATATAATTCTTTAAGTAATTCAGTTTGCGAGGTGGCACCCTCGTACCGATGACCGATCCTAATTTATGTTGCCTTGAAACAGGTAATTGCCGTTGGACCAGGGCCTCTGGACGAACAGGGTAACAGGAAGCCGTTGACTGTTACCCCCGGAAATACAGTTTTGTACTCAAAGTATGCAGGGAACGACTTCAAGGGCAGCGATGGATCTGACTATATTGCTCTAAGAGCATCTGATATCATGGCTGTACTCTCTTAGTACTAATGTATTTGCACTCGTTATTTTCAGCCTAGATTTTCTGGTGAGTTGTTCTGAGGCAGTAGTGTTCAAGTGCAATCGACCACACTTCTGCTTTATCAAACAATATTCATGTCGGCTTTTTGGTTGTAGTTTAAATGTTTAATTCCAATTGCAGTCCCACATGTGTAATGTGTAGTGTGTGTGTGTGTTTTGGGTACAAGTGGTTGTAGTTTATATGCCGATATGCAGCTTTCATTTTAATTCATTTATCGTAATTAACGGTTTACCTAATTGAATCAAGACGAGGCATAGATTTATTCCAGTTTAAAGAAATAAACATTATTCTATTCAGTGACCGTCAGCTGATATCTTTTGGGTGAAAACTGAAAAGGCAATTCATTCAGAACAAAGAAATGGAGACAAAAAGAAAACTACAAAAAAGGGGAAAAAATGAAACAAGGAAACCAACAGCTAAGCAACAAGACCACACTATAATCAAAACAAACAGCGTCTGTAACCATCTTGGCATCGAGTCAACCAACAAATTCTGCGAAGAGAAGTGTTCGGGAACCTATCTAAAAACGTTCTTTGCTGGTCTGGGATTGGGAACCCATTAATCAGAATTTACAGTGATTTAAAAATAACGGCCTCCAAGTTTAAAGAAATAACTGTTACCACTCAAAGAGCCTCAACTTCAGCAATAAGCGATGAGGAAGCTCGCACAGTGGCCTTGAGCTGAGATTCTACTCATGGTCTATTTCACGTTGGCCAATAATTGGGAATATCTACTGTATTTGTTAAATTTTAAGGGGTGATGGTCAAGGGATAGAGCAATAATACTGGCTGGCGTTGAACCTAGTTTCTGCCTTTTGGATAATTTTCAGTTCCAGAGCTTATTATCTAGATTCTAGGTTCATTTGTTTTGTCAAATAGACAAGCTTAATTTATTAATCCTAAATAAGTGTTTTCTAGGTATTGTGGTGTGACCCGTGGGTTCTCAACTAAGTTGGATAAAAGAGACTAAGGGTATAATCATAAATCTAGATGAAGATTTTAATAAAACAAAGTTAAAATGGGATCTTTCCCATGTGGTAAGATATCCTAAAATGACACAACTAATTAAAGACCAAAAAGTCAACTCCCAATATTAACATAGATATTTAAAATTAAATAATGTAATAAATATTTAAACTTCCAATAAATTACCTCGTTTGGAATTTTAAAGGGTCACCATTCCTAAATATCAAGTGTATCGAATGTAATAGCAATGTTGCGGGTCTGTTAGATGTATATTGTCAATACTTGCCTAGATGACAATTGACAAGCTTCGCCGGAACACGTACAGAGTAATGCTATATTAAGCTGATGAGTGATGACAGGAATGCGGAAATGCATAAATATTAAAAAAAAAAATTGAAATACTAGCATCTTCATTAGAACGTCATTTTTTTGCATATCGATAATACTTTCATTTTCTTTTTCTATAAAGCCCTCAGGCCTCAGCCTCAAGCAATTTCGTTGCTTCAAGCCTTCAAATCATCGAACAGTACAGACAATAAAATCAGGGAGAAGGTACAGAGATTGAACAAGCTTAACTAAGTCTGTAACATTAACAACATGAGCTGTCCAAACACCTGGACCGGAGGAGTCATTGTTGAGCCACCCGGGGAGATGTATCTTGAGAAATACCAACAATTAATAATCTGCACATCTCCTTCAAGAATGAGAGAAGGTATGCTAATTTCCTGGCTTTCTTATTTCAAGATAACACGTACGTTATCCCAGCCCAAAAAAAGTTGTACTTACAGTTAAAACTTTCTGGGTAACATGCATTATCCAATTTTTTACAGAAAATAAGAAATTGCCATGTATATCTGAATACATTTGAAAGCCAGGAACCACGTTCTATCTCCATAGTTCCCTGTTGTATTTAAATGTATGTGACAAACAGATGTTAGAATTGAAGAAAGCAAGGTTCTCTCTCTCTCTGACATGAAGATGCACAGAAAGAGGAGACAAAAAAACAATTTATAGTATGCTATCCACATCCCTGTATGTGGCGTCAGAACGATTCCTTGTACTAATATTATAGCTAATCCAACCTTTTATAGACGGTTTCCAACCAAGAGTATCAGCAATGCAATTCAGCCTTCCAGGTTTGAATGCGACTATCCTCACCAAGGTAAATTGACAAGGCCAGAAGGTCCGCCATTCCTTTTTACACCCTGACCATCCTTACTGGTCAAAAGACGTAGAAGAATTGTCATCAAATTGTCACTTCCATGCATTCCCGCTATCAGACCCGCTACAAGCCTGATCTCGCATGTTGCCCAGATCACCATCCAGACTGATCTGCTGGACCTCAGTAGATGACAGTATCTTTATGCTCTGAACACAACTTACAAATTCCCTGCAATTTGAAAAATTAAGGGGTGAAAATGAAGTACACAGCTACAGATGGGAAGTGATGTAATTATTAGGGTATTTAGTTATTATGGTCTCTGACTTACTCCCATGGATCATCTCCAACAAGAAGAATGTCATTTTCATGATCCACATAGACCAATTTCCACTCAGTTCTGTGTGGATCTTCCAACTGCCCTTCAATCCCAAACATGTGTGCCAGGTCACGCCTGAGCTCATTATACCCACTGTATCGTGTAACATCAATGGATCTTCCCACAGAGCCACGCTTTTGGACCTTCAGTATTCAAAAAATAAGTAGGTAGTCAATACTAGAAACAAGCAAATCAAGGGAAAGATACCTAAATTTATGCTAAACATGGTGCTATCAAAATCCACAGGTAGGACATAGAAATCTATATGCATATTTCATTGTACTAGTAAATGTGTACGTGCTTTGCATGTGGCGATTCTAGATGATGATAATTATAGTAATAATATATCCAAAATTTTCTATAAACTTTATGTATTTTTATTATTAATCAGATGTAGATTGCAAAATTCAAATCTAACTACATAAACACTTCATCCAAATATGTGATAATCGGATCGAATTGTGAAGTTTCAAGTATCATTGACATGCCTACCTACTTGGCTAAACTTTTCTTTTTGTAGTGTTTTATCATTTTGTTGTATCATTTTCTTTTGTTCATTTATCAAAAAAAAATGTTAGATTTAAATAGAGGGAATGAGGCGAAAAGTAGTATTTCAATTTACAGACTAAATTCAAAAATGAGTATTTTAGTCACTATTTTAAAAATCGGACCAAATCGAGCGATTGAACCATTTTGGCCCGAGAAGCAGTCAAGTCACCAGTTCCGTTTTGGTTGTCACCATGTTCTTTTTTTGCCTCTCTTCCTTTCATCATAATTTATGTTTGGTCTATGGGATCCTATCTTCCCACTGGGTCCAGTAGGGCTTATGTCCAAGTCTTTGGCCAAATGCTCTAATCCTAAATCTGAGCATTTAGAGTCATCTATACTCTAGTACTCTACTTGATAAGAACTGCCTATGAGATTTCCATGAGCCAAATATAACACTGATTTGATGATTTTAATCATCTAATCAGGAGAAAGGAAAGGCGGAGCTTTAAACCATGGCAAGATGCTAAAAATGCAGAAAATTTGAAACAATATAAAACCATAAGAAAGGAAGTTTAAAAGAAAGTGAATGAAGCTAAATGTAGGGCTTATGACAAGGTTTACCATAAATTAAGCACTAATGAGGGGGGAAAAAGAATATATATAAACTAGCAAAACTAAGAGAAAGAAATGCAGAGATTTAAGCCATGTTAAGTGCATTAAATATGAAGATCAAAGAGTCTTGGTAAAAGATGAGGAAATCAAACAAAGATGAAAAAACTATTATGAAAAATTATTAAATGAACAAAAGGGAGAGAGTGCTAATGGAGGAGAAGCTAGCAATACTAATAGTGTTAAAAATAATATCTACCTTTGTAGAGTTAGACCTAGAAGTAAGAGAGACACTAAATAAAATGAAGGGAAAGGCATTAGGACTTGATGGGATTCCAATAAAAGTGTGGAAAGGTATGGGAGAGGTAGGCTTATAATGGCTAAATAAGCTATTAAATAAGATAGTAAAAGAAAAGAAGATGTTTGATGATTAGAGAAATTGTAGTATGGTGCCTATATTTAAGAACAAAGATGATATGCAAAGTTGTAATAGTTATCGAGGGATTAAACTCATAAGCCACACTATGAAACTTTGGGAGAGAATAATTGAACAAAGATTACGACTTGAAACAAGTGTATCAAAGAACCAACTTGGCTTTATGTCAGGGAGATCAACCATGGAAGCTATATTTCTTTTAAGACGATTAATAGAAAAGTTCATAGAAAAAAAGAAAGATCTTAATATGGTGTTTATGATAGAGTTCCTAGAGAGGTAATATGTTGGGTCATGAAAAAGAAAAGGGCTTAAAATAGGTACAAAAACCTAATTAAGGATATGTATGAGGGAACAACACCCAATGTTAGAACACTAGTGGGAGAGACTTCAAATTTTACAGTTACGTTGGGTCTTCACTAAGGTTCAACACTTAGCCCTTATCTATTTGCACTGATCATAGATGAATTGACTAAACATATTAAAGAAGAAGTTCCTTGGTGCATGTTGTTTGCAGATGACATTAGTTTAATTGATGAAACTAATGAATGGTTAAATGCAAAATTAAGCCTATGGGCAAATGCCCTAGAAACAAGAGTTTTTTTTTAAAGGACTAAAACAAAGTATACGACATGTAAATTTAGTAATAATAGGAGTGTAAATCAGGATACACTTAGGATTGGAGACCAAGAAATAACTCCATATGACCATTTCTGGTACCTTGGTTCAATAATTCATAACAAGGGAGAGATTGAGGAGGATGATGCCACCCAACGAATTAGAGCATGTTGGGCAAAACGGAGGGGTGCATCTAGACTTTTGTGTGATAGGAGAATACCACTTAGAAGAAAAGGAAAATACTATAAAAAGATCGTAAGGCCAGCTATAAAAATGGAGGGGTGCTTCTATACTTTTATGTGATAGTAGATTAAAAGGAAAATATTATAAAACAATTGTAAGGCGAGCCATGTGTAAGTGTTCAAGACTGCTATCAGTCTTGATCACTAAGAAACTTTAGGTTCGATGAGAAGAGAAAGTGAAGAAGAAGTAGAAGAAAAAGTGGTGAGAGAGCAGTAGAACACAAGTTTTGAGGAGAAGAACAGAATCTCAATAATCTGCCACCGCCACTTTAATTGCTAACACATAACATAAAACTGCTAACACATAACATAAAACTGAAAAATTAAATAACTAGGAATAACAGAATAACAAATTGACCACAGCTGTGACTAGATACATTCTACCCTACGGACAGAGTGGGACCACAGCTGCGGGGCCCACATCATTGTTCTCTACACTCCCCCTCAAGTTGGGAGTATATGTTCATCATTCCCAACTTGGATAGATCTGCTTCTAGCTTCTTTCTTGATACAGCTTTAGTGAGGATGTCT